GTTGGGATATTTTTTTTATATATGGCAAAAGTTGGGGCATTTTTTTTATTCTCTCATAGTAAAATCTAAATACCTCGTACTTGTTCTAAGTATAGAACGAAAAGTCGGTGACCTAACAAAGCTACGGCAGCCCCGCTGCACTGGTTGTCTTACGGGAAAAGCCCTCTAAGCCATACATTTTGTATGATAGTAACATTGATTATACTCACTAAAATGTCTTAGTACTTGCGGTCACTTATGGTCGCTTTAAGTCAGTGACAACGTCAGTTGACACGGTCACTCACATCCCTGCTTACAGTGCATAGTGTGAAGTGTTACTTGACAAAAGAACATTCAAGATTGTAAGCTTTGGTAGTGAGGAAGTTGATCAAGCATGATTTGTTGTGATCGCAACGTTTAATCATCTTCTTCCCCTCATAAATGTATCTCTCTGTGGCCACATAATTGCTTATAGTTGTATCGTCACTTAATAACCAACTTATAGAAAGAGTTCGGTTGGGCCGTTGGTTGGTACGGCTTACAGAAGTTTCTGCAGATGGCGGGGTTTATTGAATTTTTTACTGCATCACAAAAAATTCAAATGAGAATTAACACATCAAAAAATAAGTCACCGTTACATAATCCAGAATTTCATGGCTTTGAGATTGAAGTATCACAATCCTCTCATTTGCTATATTATCACCACTTCAAAATCGATTGTCAGTCTTAGCCGACAGACAGAGCACACGACCCAATGCGCGATGCACCTCAATCTTCACATCTGGACCGGGAAAGATCTCACCGTCGACGCACATCAGGTCATCTGCGTTTGTTGCGCACAACGATAAGGCACGCGTGCGAATAAGTTGTACGCGATCCACGTTCAAATGTGTGCCATTCTCAATTCCCATCATCAATTTAGCAAGTTCCAGACGCGAGTAACTCTGTCCTGACACCAGCATCACATAGAAATATCCATCGGATATGTCAGCAGGTGGCCCTATGTGCGCATCAGCGGCAGCGTGGGAGACATTCATAGACCAAAACATGTAAAACGGGCCATTTAACTCTTGCCACTTGGCGGCGTTATCCTCCGTATCCAAACACACACAAACTGGCTTAGCTGTCATCTCTCCGTTATTAAACATGTCGTGGTACTTGGTCGGCTGTGGTTCGTCATTTGTAGAAACGAGATAACGCAATCGTCCAGGGTAGCTCATCTGACCAAGGCCGAAAATTTGCAAAGTAGACGCAATGAGAAAGCGTTGGTCGCCAAAAAAGCGATAATACTCCGATTTGATATCCACGTCGGCAATAAATGCCCATTCGAGTGATAAAAATCCGCACATGGTCTTTCCGTTGCCGTTCGTTGCAGTGAATAGGTCTAGCTCTTGCACATGGCCCTTTGCAAGAGAATATGAAGCATTGAGGGCGTCAAAGCGTTCGCCCGCACGCGACAGCAACGATGCAGAAAGACCATTACCGGATCCACCTGGAATGATCTACTCATCACAAAATTGCTATAAAGTGAATCATCATTATAAAAGGAAAAGGTTATACTAAACCCACTCCAAGCGGCTGCAGGATCGCTAATTGCCAGTCCTCACGATTCATTAAGCCCTGAAGCACTGCACCAGAAAGAGCACCATCAGCATTTGCCAACAAGATCAAATTACTAAAGCTGCGATGAATCATTTCACTAACTCTCTGACAGCAATCCGTCGCCCCCAACAGCCACGATACAATCAAATTTGTTTAAAGGCACGTCCATCAGCATTTGCGTCGCATGGCCAGCGTGTTTCGTGATAACTTGCTCCACTTCCACATTGGCTTGCTCCAACACCGGTGCTGACTCCTTTTCGAATATTTGCTGCGCATCGCCCGTACCTCCAGCAGGATTTATAATGACCAGGAACTGCAGTAATCAGTTGCTTTTACATATCATTTCTTCTTTCTTTCAACATTTCTAGTCTGCTTACCTTGCGAGGAGGCATAAAACCGTACGGGTCTAGCAACTTTTCACCCTTCTCGATGCTGTGTTCGACCCTCGGGTCAGCCAAGAATCGGATGGCCTTCACAGCCCTCATGGCAACCACCTCTTCGTCTTCATCACACCTAAAAACCCAATGCACCAGCGACCTCTCCGTCCCCGGTTTTTCATCCGTGAGAGCAGTAGGTAGCATGGCTTTCGCCATTGTTTTTATCATTCCCAGCAGTCCTCCTGAACTTGAGGTATTAACCTTTGGAATGCATCCAAATACAATAAACTCTTTTTCCTCGCCAAACTCTTCGCCTTCATAAATGGGCACCAGACGGCGGCGGATGCCAGTAGTAGACTCGGACGCACCGAGGATCGAGGACCAGGGAATAACGTCAGGCTCCGAGGGCGACTCCACAGAACAAAGTTCAATGCCTTTTGACGTGAGCTGAAGACGCTTGTGCTCGTCGGAACGCCGCTGGCTCGCGTAAACGCGACAATCCACGGACACCGAGCCCTGTGGCCAGTATTTGCGCAGGTAAGTCTCCATTCAAGAAGTCTTTGCAAATGGTACTCTTATGATGGGAGTATCAGTACTAACAAATACAGTAGCGATGAACGATACAGAGATCAAGGTAAACACAACGACACTGACAATTTATCTGCCGGGCAACACGACTTACCGTTTTAGCTGGTCAATTCAATTGCTTCGAACTATTATTACAACGATTATAGATTTTGTGGTAAGAATAAAGAATGTATGCTGAATAACTTGTATCTTTTTGACGTTAAAGATTTTATTAAGAGAACTGCATCTTTCTGGATTATATCACAAATGTAAATGTAGATAAAAAAATTACATCATTAAATCTATCAAATAAATATGAGTTGTGCATTGTGAAATTTCGATTAGCAGCCACCTGGAGAAGAGCACGCCATCATCTGCCCGTCAGGAAAATAGGAAATTTTTCTTTTGTTAGGCAGCGTTACTTCCCGCAGGCCATCAGGTTGTTCCAGCATGGTAGTGCCGTCAGGAAACGCTGAAAACTCGTCGCCGTTTGGTCGAATGGTCTTCTTTATGCCGTCAGCAAACTGAATTTCAGTTGTGCCGTCAGGCAGGGTCGTCTCAATTTGCTGATTAGGAAATTCGTAAACCTTTCGACTATCTGGGTAAGTTGTGAGTTTAGTTCGGGCTTCAAAGTAATAATATACACTGATTCCTGTGTCCGGAGAGACCTAAAAGCAACACCATTGATAAAATTAGTCATAATATCTTGCCGTTTCAATAAAAAGTTACCTCTTTGAGATCACCATTCGTAAACCGTATGATTACGCGGCCACTTGCGTCAATATGTTTTTCATTGCCATCGGTGAAAGTGATTTTTCTGCTACCATCCGAGAACAACAGTTCCGTTTTACCTCCAGGATGTTTGATCTCTCGCGACATCATCTTGTGTTCTGATCGAGTCGTCGATAGTGCAGCATCCAGTTCATTGCCACTACAGGGCGAGTTGCCAGTATTTTGTAGCACTTGATCATTCCCGACCAATATAGACCCTTCATAAGACGTTGCAGAATTACCTGTACTTGCAGTTTGCACTAACTGAATGGAATCATCGTCGTTATTCGTGCTCTGGAAACCGTTTCTGTGAGAACATTGCTTAGGCTCGCGCGATAAACTATAAACTTTGCCATCGAGACTGTAACGCTTTAAATTGTAAAGGTCCGCTTCATCAGATTTCGCACAAATATTATCTTGATCAACTGCCAATGTCGAGTTATTATTTTCACGATCGCGACTTGGATCCTGAGAAGACCCCCATCGTTGTGAAAGTTCATCAGCCGTTTTCTTGCTCAAATAACCATCATATGTTGTACGAAGTTTGCCTGACTCGTCAAACTTTGAAGTTGATGATTCGAACTTAAAAATCGACCTGTTTGCGTCTTGTCGTCCCTTGACTAAACGATTATATTTTTCGCACTGGACCAAGCGATCTTTTTCAAAGAATTTGATGGTGTCAGTCAGCTCTTGGTTCTTATTCTCTAGTTCCTAATGAAGCATAGAGATCAACAGGAAGCAAGAATCGAAGTTTAAAGTGCAAAAAATCTTTCATACCATTACATACCATAATAAGCTGCCGCAGATTTTCATTATCGACTTTCAGCTTACCCACACGTGCATTTTCATCAAGCTGCATCTTGACAATTTGGGCTTTGAGCATTTCTACTTCGCCTCGGTCCTTTCGCTCTTGATGCGAAATGGTTGCATTCAAGTGCGCTTTCCACTGGCGCTCTTGCACTTTTTCGCTTTTCTTCATTTTGATCCGCTCCTGATTCCATTCCTTTTCTATCAATAAGACTTGTTCCTTCTGATATTGAGCAAATTTGTCCCGGTCAAGGTGCAATTTCTTTATCTCTTGGTCGTAGTAGTCCTTTCGTTTCCTGACCTGAAGTGTCTCTGCTTTGTAAAATTTGACTTCTTCCTCCAACTCGTACAACTTTTCTTCGATTATAGAGGGCAACTCCAAACCAGAGCCTACACCTGTTTGAGTACACCGCTGTGCAGCCTTCCGATTTTCTGCTACTGATTTTTGCTCTGTTCGCGTACGAGCACCAGATTTTGGACCAGTGTCTCTTGTTTTGCCTTTGACCACTCCTGAGGAAGTCTGTTTGCCACGAAACTGCTGCTTCAGCATCGTTAGGTCCTGTTTAGGCGGTGAAGTAGACGAGGGTAGGTTGGCCGAATCTACATTGACCTGCTTCCTATCATGACCAGCATCATTTGTGGCCGTATCGCCTTCATCGAAAATGTCGTCATTAATGAAGCCATTATTGTGCAAATTTAACTTGTCAATACCAGCGTTACGTTGCTGATAATGAGTCGGGATTTGCCGTGGTTGTAATGACAAACTGTTGTCCCACGGTACAGAATCATCAAAGCTAACTGCGCTCAAGTCTGACAACAGGTCACCATAATTGTTTTCGTATCCGAATTGAAAGCATGGCTGACGTGTGTCATCATGTTCTTTGACCGTCCAGTTATCCTTCGACAGATCTATGTGGTCGTCGAAGACGAGTACGGAGTTTTCTTTTCCATTTAAACTGTCGTCAAGAAAGTCTGGATCATCAAATTGCCACCTTGATAACCCTTGATCATGGTGCTCTGAAACAAACGAGGAAAAAGAATGTTCAGCCTGATTACCGTTTGAAACACTTTTCAAAAGCATACTGGGTTGAGCAGATGACAGATGCTGCTTTTCCTTGTTTTTTTTCGCCAACAAGTCCTGCTCAATTGCTTCGAAATCAGCCATCTCATCGGCTTCACGCTCCTGGTTTGCTGCATAGGAATGACGTAGAATATCCCAATCCATCATGTCAACACTGACTGAGGGACCAATTGACCCAGGTTTCCACTCAACAACTTCTTGTCCAATTTTATATATGCTTTCTTCTTGCATGTTAAGATTATTTACCTCTTGACTGTATTGTTTCCGTTCGATCGATGACGATGTCGATGAGGGCGTACAGGTTGTATAAGTCTGCTTCGGCGGTGTTGCGACAGGAGAAGTACCCGACTTTTTTGAATGAAAATTCATACTTTCATTCCCGATTTTATTTTCTTCTCCCTTGGACACGAGTGTGTGCTTGATCAACTTCTGCTTGGCATCTCGCTGTCGCATCCACCAGCCACGAGTACCTTTTTTAAGAAAAGGTTTTTTTATCAACCTGTATTGGGACGTCGCCTTTTCAATATCACATCCATCAGATTTAAGCAGTTCTTGAACCAATTGCCCTTCAAAAGGACCTTCATAATCAAACGTAACAATTCTTCAACAACCGAGCAGGTACTTAAATAGCAAGCATAGAAAATTTCGTACTTTCCACGGCCACGGGAATAAATTCACTGAGAATACTGCTAGCGCTATGGCCCCTTCCGTTACTATTATTGCTCCACCTTCGAGTCTCTTGCTGGCCAGGCGCCATAAGTAGGTGATGCAAACTCCAACTTGTGTCTCATCCCTAATTCGTATTTTAATACAACTGTCTCAAAGAACTTGCGTAATTACACCTGTAAAAAGCAGAGATGTAGCCAATAAGCGCTTTTCGTGTTACTGGCTGTGAGCTCGTCGTCGAAACTTACTCACACAGCATAACTACATATCAGCGACGAGGTTGACTACTGTGTTAGGCTGTTAGTGTACTAATTTCGTACTTCATCTCACTACACTGGTGGTTATGATGACTATTCATCCTAACTGTTTTCACGACGGTCATCTGAGCTGGTCACCACCCGCAATGTTGAGAATAGGAAATATTTGATAGCTCTGATGCTGCCAGTATATGCAAATTTCACTTGTAGCCTGCCTGTCCTGTGTTGGCGATGATGTAACATCTATATATCTGTCAATCCACTGAGTGCGACAATGAAGATATACAATTCATACTTTTTAACTGCAATCTGACAGCCATCACTTTCATAACAAATTTTTATCCGATCTGGCGCCTAAAATTCTCTAGCGCTTACTTTACATTCAGTACGAAAATAGCGCGATTATAACCTTTCAAAGCAATCCTGACCTATCATACGCGCTCAAAGGATTGTATTCTTGAAAATGAACAACCGTCAGCTGCTCGCGTAATCCCCTCGCTGTAAGGTTTGTATATCGAAAATGCGTCGTGTTAAATGATCACTAAAGTATCTATAACGTATAATTGCGACTGATCAGGGTTAAAAAGCTCAAGATTATATATCAACACATAGGCTTCTGAGTTGGATTATCGTTTAAACATCATTTCAATCGCAACGAAATTCAAAGCGTCTGAGAGGTCAGTGCAAGGATGACTTTAATCTCTACACTCGCAAGCTATAGCAGCTATTCAGAGAGATTCCCATTGTCAAATGCATCACTCCTCACTTTGCACGGACATATAACTACAAAATAAC